GATTTTTAATCATTATTTCAGTATCGGATAATCCGAAAAGGATTTTCGTTGCTGATTTCAGCGCAACAGTTAATGCAGATTTGATCAAATTTGGGGAACTTCAGGTTAGCATTTTTTTGATAATATTAAACATATATTTTAAAATTTTCTTCTTATTATTTGGCAATGTATATTTCTTACGAGACTGTTTATTAAATCTTTTCAACGTGATTGCTTAATTATTAAGACAGAATACAATTGAATTAATCTGTTCTTTAAAAAAGAAACAATACAGGATTCTCTGCCTACTGATTTGTTCCTTAAAGAACCATTTCAGGCTCATCGTCGTATCATTGGGTTTGTTGGTGTTGTTCATGCACCAATTGAAGATGAGGAAGCAGAAGCGTCACAGCAACATTCCGATATAGACACTGCGGCAGATCGTCGAGTTGATGATTCGAATCCGAAAACACATTATCTTGCAAAAATCAAAGAGCAATACGATTTTGTAAAGGTATCATTTATTTTAATAAAAGAGCTATCATTTTGCAAAAAAAAAAATTCAAAAATTCAAAAAGGTAGTGATATCCCAAGTTCGATTTCAGAAAATAGATATTCGACAGTTAGGGAGCATAAATCGTCCAAGTGATTTTTTAGTGCAAAAAAATCAATATTATCACTCTATTGAGAATTTTTTTAAAAAATCACAAAATATCAAACGTCATTTTGAAAGCATTGCTACCCATCGCTTATAGACTGAGTACGCGTCAACTCTTGTGGATTCGCGATGTATTGTTATCGGATATCCAGAAGTATGTTTTTTTTTTGCCTATTGTAAATTTTCTTCTATAGAAAAAAAGAAAGAAAAGGTCATTTTCTAGTGCTTTTAAAAAATGATAGCGATTTTAAGATTTTATGGAAAATTAGTCTCAATTTTTTATTTATTAGTGTAGATGTTGTTGGATCTAGAGAGAAAACTGGACTTCCATCTTTGGTCCTAATGAAATGCAAGGTAATCCTTGTGGATAGTAAAAAGGAATTGTCTTAAAAGTTGATTCTTGAAGAAGTGAAAAATGAACTAGACCAGTTTAGAGTGCTGACTATTAACGAATCTGATAGGATCATAAATCAAGATCTTAATTGACCTGGCAGCGTTCCCATTATTTGCAAACGACTGTTATCTGCAGGAATCTATAAAGGGATTGTGGTCTTCGCGAGAATTATTTTCTTTCAAAACTCTCGATGATGCGGATTCATTGGAAATGGGTATAAGAGATTTTCTGCGCTCCATTTATTACGTATTGGAAAGTCGTCGACTTGATCTTTCTTTTGAGAAGCAGGAATGTCCATCATGTCCGGCGCTAATCGACGAACAAAAGTATCGTCAAGGTTTGGAAAATAAAGCCAGCAAAATATACAGGTTAATGCTTTTAATATGTACAGTATTTCTGTTTTTTCCTATCACACAGTTTTTGTAAATGTTTAACGGATATTGTAAACTTCTCTCTTACCATCCACTTCCTTTTCTCTGCTTTTTTTTGGAACATATATCGTTTCGTTGTTACGTGTAAAAGCTTACTTCTTTCTTTGGTTTTTTCTTCTCATATTTTTTGCTACTAGTTTTTCGAAGTTTTGAATATTACAAGTGAAATTATTTTTAAGGTACCTTTATGAAGAGTACAGTGACTTGCCGATCTATTCCTAATCAGTTTATAAAAAAGTCTCTATTTAAGAAGAAAAAAACGAAATAATTTAGGAAAAAATGTATTGGTCGCCTTCGGAAACAAGTTGCCGATTACACACTCATAACAGGATTGCCCACTTTAGCAATGGATTCCTATCAATCAGCCATCGAATTCCTTAAACAGGCTAACGATTTGCTTTGGCTTGCTGGTATATATCTTTAAAGATGTTTGATGGAGATATTTTATGATTTTTTCAAACGTTACATCTTTTTGAAGTTTTTAAGTGATAGATGAGATAAAATTCCATCAATCGGCTTTATAGATTTCTGAGGTGAAGACTAGTCTCTGAAGTCTATAAGCATAAAAAAATTAGAGAAACAGATTAAAGATTTATTAACAAACAGAGAAAAATCAACTTAATATAAAGGTATGATTCATCTGAAAAGCTTGGCTGATTGTAGTTTCCCTCGATTACATACCTGTCTTTTATAAGCGTGCGTTTTAGCTGCTTATGAAGGTTGGGCTTGTTCAGCAATGGTAGCGAAGTATGATCTAACAGAAGAATGTGCTTCTATTAGTGGAATGCAACGAATTTCAACGATGACCTCCGAACAGATTCTTTCGGCACGTAAAACAAACCAGTATAGTACCGGGTAAATATTTTTTTGAGGAATTTTTGTCATATGGATTTTAAAAGTAAGACAAATAAATACTAGGTGTTTTTAAGTTTAATAGAATTAATTAGTCGTTAATTATTTTCAGGTGATTTTGCAAATAAATTGAAACAAATATAACACGATAAATTTACAAAATAAGATGTTCTACTTCAGTCATAATATATTTGTAATAAGTAAATACTGTTGCAGTATTTCGACTGGACATCAGAGACATTGGTCAGATGAAGAATGTTCTTTAAAGACTTCGTCTGCATTAGGAGAAGTTCAAATTTTAGATGACTGTTCTTGTCGTCATTCTTTTCGATTACGTTGGAATGGATCAGCTTATGATAAGTTAGCTGTTTTAATTGGATCTTAAAAATTCCAAAAGAATCATCTTTTTATAAATGTTTTGGAAAATTAATCGGACCAATGAGGTATATTAATCAACTTTCTTTGTGTTTGGTCTTCCAGCTCATTCCCTCTTCTTGTCATCTACGGAACTCTCCTATCATATCACTGTTACAGATCCGGAAAGTATGGGATCAATTATTTGGAAATTGTTGAAAGATTCAAAGCTGCATTGGAAAGTTACGAAAGGTTTTCATTTGCTGCATGGATCGAATATGAATGCATGATGAAAGCTGCTTCTGTTTTTCGATATCAGCGTTTATATGTAGACATGGAGGTTTGTGATATCCATAGAAAGTTGAAAAAAATTTTTCATGAAGTTTCAAAGTTCGGAGATTTTATCAGCTGGAAAATATAAGAAAAGCGTTAATGGGAACATTTTTATGTGTTACTTCTTTAACATTTTTATATTCTGCCAACAAGGAATACTGCTTGCTATACCCTGTAAAAACTTGCTGGAGATCTGACTTGTAGATTGTAATCAATATTGTTACTTCTATGTTACTTCTACTTCTAGAAATTTTAGGCCTATTGAACGTAGACTATTCAGTTCCAAAGTTTGCTATATATTTTCTGCTATATAATATTTTAGGGTTTCATAAGAGAACATATTGGTAAATATCTTGCGGACGGTTTTAATCAGTTTGGTCATTTCACAAAAGCTGTGATATGCCTTAATTCTGCAGAAGTATATCATAAAGTTAGTGTGTTTATGAATTTTTCTCATGTATCTCATTTACATTCAATTGAACTTCGCTAAATTTTATTCATCTTTGAGCTTTACGATATGACGAAAATCTTAGTCATCCAGTAAAATAGCGCTTTTAGCAGATTTCGTTAGTCAGAATCATTTTAAAAACATAAAAATGAATGATATGGGAATGAAACTATTTCAGATTGGTTTTAATCGAAAATCTGCATTTTTTGCTCGTCTAGGGGTTTTATTCCGCTTACATATGACGAAGAGCGGAAATCGCAGCGTTCTGGACTACCGACAAGTCTATCCAATATTATATAGAACACTGACTGGTTATGGGGTGCCTGAGAATTCAAAAGAGTTCTCAAATGATTTAATGAGATTAGGACCAGTACATATTCAGAGGAAAGCTTTGCATGAAGTGTTCATGAGTGCATTACGTGCCGAATACTACGATGCAGCTATACGCCATCTGTGCTATATTTTACAGGTTTTCATCCTTTAATTTAATTATTTTACATTTTCTTGGAATTTTACACTAATAAGCAGTATTTTTCGAAAGAAGAGTGAAGGAAAAAAGGAAGAGAGATGCGCTGAAGTTGTAACAACACTGAAAGTAGCTTCTTAAGTTTAAACTTCGAATTATGTTTCTTAATTTTCCAAATGAACAAATGTGGAATATTCTCCAAATTCGCCTTCTGAAAGGCAAGGAAATTAAACAAATGTGCATGACAAACGACAAATTTATTTTTTTCCTAAGCCAAACCGTACTTTAAATTTTATTTGAAAAAGGTTTCGAAAATTGTTTCAAAAGTTCAGTTATGCTTCAATTTGTTGTATCTTTATTCTTATTTTTTCATTAAAAATAAACTGTATTAAGCTTATTTTAATTTTTTAAGGTTTATTATAATTATATGGATCAAGAAACGTCTGAGCGAATGCTTGGAGAACTGACCAAATTAGTAGCATCGCGGGATGTTCAACACCAGCTCAGTCAGCACATTTCATTACCACAGCATGGACTTATCATACCGCCAATTCAGATGATGCGTTTCCCGAAACTTGAGTGCAGTTTCCAATTCACTTTTTCCCATTTTAGGGAATGATATATCGATTTTGATACTTTCGAACAAATTACAAATGTTATACTTCGTCGTTCAAGTCATAATTAATTTGATGAACAGATATTTCAAGTACTACTATAAATGATTCACAACCATTTTGTTTTTTGCGTTTCTTTAATGCATGAAAATTGTATTTTGTCATTGAGACATATCCTAACGTTCAATTTGCAGGAAGTTTGCAGTCTGTCCCCTTCCGGGACACCTTGCTGCCACGATTATTCGACCCAAGCTTCACTCCGACATATTTATTTATTCGCCATTTCAACATGAGATTGCTTCGAAAGGTTCTTTAATATATTATTTTTCTTTTATCAGAAATAAATGAAATTAAGATAGCATTTTTTGAAGGTTTATGAAATTGTGGAGTTCTTCCTATCAAATAATTTATCAATATTTTGTAGTTACATGGGTTCAAGATTGCGCTTGCGAGGTTTCCATATCGGTGATCAATTGTCTGCCATGCGAACTATCCGTATCCAATCTTGCTTTACTTTCTGAAGGTTGCGCTTTTGAGCCAATTCCTGTCCGACTTACTTTACCTGCATCTAGTGATAATACAGAAGCTGTAGATTTCAAACTCATTGGAGTGCCCAGGCGAGTTTATTGATTTCTCTACCTCTAAACAGGATATTCTGCAAAATATACTTCTTTCCTCGATTTTTTTCTTTCAAAACTTTAGTGGAAATTTAAGAATTTTCATGTTTTGAATAAATAAAAGTTAGCTTATTTCGAGAACCTAAAAATATATTTTTATAAGCTGAAAATTTATTGCTTCAAAAAGTTGAAGGAAAGAGGAACGATCATCGAGTTTGAGACTTCGAGGCATTGCTTTTGAATTCGACTTATATATTAGTTGTTCCAGGGAATCGGGACGGCTCACTATAACAGGTTATTCGTGCGAGATACTGGGCATGCGTAATATTTGCAGATTGCGGGATTTTCCTGAACGCGTAAAATCCAAGGGCTTTCTCTCATCAGTTTTTGATATTGAAGTTTGTTTTTTTCATCGTTTTTGCTTTTGCTTTCGGTACATAAAAACAGAAAGGGAGATACGGAAGAGAGAGAGAAGTTATGGAAGAAACAAATCCGGAGGATGGCTAATGGAAAGCATTCATTTTCTTATTTATTGCATTTATTGTAGGTATTACCGGCTTTACCTGTTTTGGAATTGAAAACTTCATTGAGTCGAGCTCCGATCTCTGAAGATGATGTTGAACCAACCGCTGAAATAACTGTTTATTCTGGACAAACGTCTTTTTTTGCTTTGAATTTATATTTTAATCATCCAAAAATTATAAAAGTTTATAACCATTTTAGGGGAATATCTAAACAGGAGGAAGGATAGAGATAGAAGGAAAAGAAGCGAGAAATTTTTTTAAATAACTTTCGCATGTGTTTTTTTGTAGTTTCTGATAACCATTATTCAACACTAATTCCGGATAGAAATTAACGATACTTATTTTCAATTTGTCTTTTTTTTTGTTTCATAAGATGCATATTAGTATTCATCAGTGATACGAAAAAAGTGACAAGACGATTACTTTTTTCAGCTTCGAACATAGTGTATCACTGGTGAATACTAGTGAAACTATTACAATACGGAATGTTAATTTGGTCGTCCGACAACCGAAAGTATGCTATTCTCTGAACTAAAAATATACTTATTTTGTTTAACTGTGTTTGCATACGGATGTAGGCTTTATTTGTAGGAGAGTGCCATTTTTTAGTTTGATTTTCCAGATACTTAGTTGAAAAAAAATACGACATGATTCCACATCTCATGAGCAATTTAAAAGTTGATTTTTTAAATATGTACTTCATTATTAAGGATCTTTGATTCATCAAATGTAGCTCTTCATCATTGTGTTTGGTAAGTCAAGATGGCTAGACATATAAGGACAAAGAATTATAGCTTTTCTATTCTTTTAGGTTTGTGGTGGTCCTTGTATGATTGAAATTGCGAACACTGAATGGCTGGAGGATAATGTTAACAGTATTCAATTAAAGCGGATCGAACCTTTGGAAAGGAAACAAATCAAATTCAGGTAAAATATGAATTCAGTGTTTTAAAGCATATTTTTCAACTTATATTTTTGAAAATTAGGATTTTGAGGCTAAAAGTCTGACTAAAGTAAATATAAAATTCAGTACTTTTAAAGTATTTTTGATGCATTATTTCTTGAACTTTCGTCTTTGTAAGAAAAATGTCAAGTGAACAACATATTATTATCATTACAGAATTTTTGGAATTGATCCGTCGGCTATGGCCGAAGATGACTCACAAAAAGAACGAAACAGAGATGCAGAGGT